AGTTTTGATAGGTTGGATAATGTGGCTTTGGTGAACTTGTTTACCATATGTACTGAATGGCCATTCAGGGTCACAAATGCTTTTGGCTCTTTTAGTAAACGTGGTGATAATGCCTGCTCTTTGTGCATTTGGGTGATTAGATTTATAGTAGATATACTGGTCGATGTGTGTTGGTTGTCTGTACACTGAGGTGGTGACATTGGAGTTATCACTTCTTACCATTACATTAAGAAATGGTAGGCTGCCGTTGGTTTCATTCTCCATTGTGAACTTCATTCTTGGATGTTGGTTGTTCAAGTACTTCAGGGGGACGACAGTATCATCTTCTTTTTGTAACATGACGAAGGTGTTATCCATCTTTCTAAACCAGAAAATAGGTTGAAACGGAGCGGATAGAGTGCCTTCTTCAGATGACATCGGAAATCAGCGGGGATAAAGGATTTCCCATCGGTAATCCACGGATATATCCATAATAGTTTTTGATGTTATCCAAGTTAAGTTTATATAGGCAAGAAGGATGATATTTGTAGGGTCAAGTTGACTTAAATCGTCAGTTTTGGCCATTTCACCCTACCCACCGCACCCCCGTTTTCTCGTCCTTTTCCAAGATAGAAGGGGATTTCGCGTTCTTAAGTTAGTGTTATGTTCTAGCCGACCAATAGTGAAACTTTGAACAAAAAAAATAATGTTGTATGTGGAAGTCGAATTAACTCCTCTCTCAAGGGGTGTTCTTAAGGGAGGAAGGAAGGGTCGGGAGCCTTCTTAAGCAGTGTTTTTGGCGACATCTAGAGCTGGTCGAAGAAAGTTGATTGTTGTACGCAAAGAATTAAATTCGAAATTTCGACGTTTTGTCAAACCCCCCAGCCCCATGGGAAGGGGACCCGCAACTTAAGAATCAAGGTTCAGAATATCGGACATCGCTCTTCAGTCATCTAGCATAGTAGAAATTTTATACGCGATGTTGATAATACATTTATACGATCTAACATTGATAGTTTTTGAGATATTGACTGGGTTTTTTCTGATTGGCCGACCGTACCATTTGACCCTACCCCAAAACATTTCCCTAAGCGATCATGATGGGTCATTTTTTTTCTGGAGTACCTACGAACCCCACCTTTCATTTAAGACCAAGTTTGCTTTGATGGGACTTTTTTCCAGGAAAACACATAAACCTGTGTTTATCCGGCAGACTAATAGTAAATTTTAAACATTTATATATGTAAATCGTTTGTTACATTTATGTTTAATTATATTTTCTGTGATATTTGTTTTTATTTGCATATATTAACACATTTTTGTGATATTGTTTTAATTTGTCTCGTTAAATTCATCATATGTTTGGCGCAATATCGCCCGGTTGGAGCTGACGTGCCATTAACCAACATTTCATTCATTCATTATTACAGAACTGTTGTCAGGATTAGAGAATTGTGCGTTTGGTGCTATGACCTGTATTAATCAGTTTAATCAAGATGAAGGTTCTGCTAATGGAACCGGTCTACTAATTTGCCAGTACGTATTAATGTTTTATATACTTCAATTGTTATGTTTGCTAAACGGCACTTTAATGATAACTATGGGTGTTCGATCCCTGCATTGGCCGAGAAAGTTCATCCCGATTTTCCGGCTTGGTTTCCCTTTGTCAGTGATGCAGAACGGATGGCCTGACAAGGACAGCTGTTTAGTCGTTCGGATGGGACGAAAAACCGAGGTTCCGTGTACATATTGGCGTGCACGTAAAAGATCCCTTGGCAGTTGGAATTCGATATAAGAGTAGGCCGTAGCGCTGCTGCCCTGACAAAATTTCCCTCATAGCACACTGTATGGCGTATGCCCGTCTTCATTAGCCCAGTTTAGGAGCAGAACAGTAGGAGGTTAAACCCCATTTCATTTCATTTCATTTTAATGATAACTATGCCCTTCCTTAGGAATAAGAATTTTTGTTTTCAGAGCTGTAGATAGAACATTGAGTTGTATTGCTAATACTACATCTCTATGTGATCCAATATCTGCTGCTACTGTTGCCCAGAGTATGACGGATATTATTAAAGGTTACCAAGGTCCACCTAATAACTGTACATTAGAAAATTCAAATAATCCAGCATTTGAGCTTGATGATTGTTCTATAGCACTTGCATATTGTGGGCAGAAATTAGCAAAAGCTAAAGGTTATACAAATGCGAATTTTGCATGTCGGTAAGTGAAATTTATATTTTGCTAAATAAAAATTTGCCTAATTTTAGGGACATATTAGTGGTGACTGAACTGATCATAGGAGGAAAGATGGAAGTGTGCCTAAGTGGGCCCTATGGAATGCTAAATGTAATATTAATCCTGTGTTTGGCAAACTGCAAATTAAATGAACAATCTATTAGACATGGCTGTAGGATTATTGTATTAGTTCCATTCAGATATCTGATCCAATATCAGAATGAATGCACTGGATAACTTTTTGTTGTAGGTCAAACGAAGATTACAAGCTATGTATAAAAGAAAACACAACATCGTGTGATGCTAAGTTCAATGATACACTTTCTAAGAATATCCAAGATGCCGACACATTCTTTAACCAGCAGAAGTTTTTTTGTGATGAAAGTAAGTATAAACATATTTGATATGGGAATAACATGGAAAGTCATCAGCAATAGTTATTTAAATTGTGTGGAGCATTACTAAAGTAACATTATAATTAAAACTTTTGTGGGGTTTTTTTTTATCCCAGGAAACAACAATAATTTAACAGAATGTGACAGAGCTTATGACGAGTGTAATAATATATTAATAAACATAGGTAGAACAGTTATCACATCTACAGATGTATGTCCGTGAGTTTTTCTCTAGGTTTTTTTTTTATAAACAATATTTTATTCAGATTTGTATTAGTCTCTAGGTTTTTTTTATAAACAATATTTTATTTAGATTTGTATTAGTCTCTAGGTTCTTTTTATAAACAATATTTTATTCAGATTTGTATCTGAATATGGATTGGGGAACAGGTATAGCTTATATTGGACCCCTCTCCATGTCAGATATATTGTTTACAATTTATAAATAAACAAAGAATCTACGAGTGAAAATATAATTACAGTGAGGGTGTAATAGTTGTCCCTGGAACCTTCTGGTGAATTCCAAAAACAAGTGGACAGTTTTACAAATATTAAATAAATGAGTTTTCCGGGTCGTCAATTAATTGCAGTAGAATATTAGTAATTTCGGTGGGTAGACGGTACATTGGTATTATTTCGGGCAGCTGAATATAAGGAGGATTTCAATAGAAAATGTTCAGTATCTTTGATGACCACATTTACAAGATGGATTGTCAGAAATATTTATGTCCATTTAGATTGCTGCAAGAGAGAGACACAGCTTGCATGGAATGATTTGGTTTACGCGGGACCTTTATTAACACAAACTTGAACAAATATTTTCGTTGTAAAAAAAAATGAGGACTTGCAAAGACATGTCGTTTCCAGTTAGTTTTACGTTTGACGTGTCTTAAATAATTGATCATATTGTTTGGAGCTTGGTAAATTATTTTATTATTTCAGGATTGTAGATATTTATAATAATTGTACCATTCATATGACCCAATCATGTACACCAAAAATAAAACTATTCTACAACGAATATTCGCAGAGAACATCAGATAGTTTCATAGGTGTGCCTTATTTCTGCGGTGCAGGTAAAAATAACTTCTACTACAAATAATAATTTCTAGGCTGTGAAATTTGTGTTCTATTTTGAAAAAACATGGTTTTACACGATTTTCTTACTTTTGTTGTTCATGAAATATCAAAAATTTGATTTAAATAAGTACTTCGAAACTGTGCAGTTTCCTAATGCAAATTCTTCGATAATTTATAGTTATTTTAATGAGTTTTTATCTTTGCCTTCAGAAAATGCCTGTGAAAATTTATTTAATGATTGCAATAAAACAATTGGTGGTAATGTTCAAGGTACATGCGAGTAAGTAACAGAATGCATGTATTTTCCAGACTAAATGTATGTGGTATTATACCATAAAAAAAACGTTTTATTCAACTGTATCACTGCACACAAATTGATTAGCCAAGAAAGGTGAATTTTGGAATGATGATGACAGGGAAATTTTGAAAATTGTTTGAAAAACGCATCTGTGTTCCATACAAATGATAGCGTCTTTTTAAGTCCACTTTTCAGCTGTCGGTCCGTCGATCCGTCCGTCAACAATTGGACTATGAACCCGATAGATACTACTTTTTAGCGGATTGTTTTGAAATCTGAAACATTGTGGTCATGAGAGGACAATATTCCGCTTTCCACGACATTCCGCTCGAGAGTTATCCCCACCTCCACAAGCCTTTGCCGAAAAACTCGTTGACGCAATAGACAGGCTATAGATTTTAATGGATCTTTTTGCAAATTTTGGGGGTATCATTGTGATCCTGAGTAGACGAGCCCTACTGTTTATCGACGTTCTGGCACCTTTCGATCGGAGGAGTTACCCCACGTTACCGAAAACCTTGTGAAATCGACAGAGGCTATATTTCTTATTCGAAGCATTGGGGTCATATTGATACGCACCTTTTTCTAAAAACTGTGTAAGGCTATAGTTTCAAATCTTTTGTGAATCATTGGGGACATGCAAGGACAAGCCTTGTAAAATTCCCACGTGCCGGGTCACCCTCACTCCCCCGCTTTCTGGGAAGCCTGTGAACGTGATGAGGGGCTAGAGTTTTCAAGCTTCTGAACAGATCAGATTTCATAAAGGCATAATGAATCAAATTTAGTTAACATCCATGTTTTCCTTTTGGAAAAGCGGCTCTGTGAGCGTATGTTTTCTTGATACACCATGTAAATATATTTTCTCAGAAGTATAATTACGTGATATGTTCGACCCTCTACACTTTTATCAGGACATGTACATATGTTGGATACGTTTTCCAATCCAAATTCATGCATTTCAGGCCACAGCTGTATATCCTTGTATTTCAGATTACTCTCAATACATAATGGTTGTTTAATTCATATATCACCAGTGTGTGACGCAGATCAATTGGCTAATGTGACTTTAACCTTAGCTCAATTTGAAAATGAAACTAGATCGGCTGATCTTAATCAATGTAAGTTATAAATGACGGCGTTATTACTCATCGTAACACATAAAAGGAATTGGATTTAAGTACTCAACAAATAACTTCGGTTCGGTCATATGATAATTTTCATTTCTATGTGAAGTCCGCGGAAAGGAAGGGGGGGGGGGGTTACTGTACTTCGAATTCCAATTGCTAAACGTTTTGTGTTACCTACAGGACAATGTCTACATGTGTAGACGAGATATTTTAACCCATTCATCCGACTAGAAACACTTTCATTTTCAGCCCATTATGCGCCAATACTGTCATAAGAAAGCCGGGATTGACGTACTGTACTTCGAATTCAAACCATTTATTCATTTAGCCCCACAAGAGCCACTGCTATCATATGAGAACCGGGGTTGAACATTTTTGGCTAAAGGATATCGTGTTAGTATAATACATGTAAAGCATCGACTACTATTCAATTTATAAAACTTGATAAATACTGTTCATTATTATTTTGAAAGGTTTAACAGCAATTGCCGCTACAACTTTTGTAGGCGTTAAAACCACAGTAGATATTAAAACTACTACCGAGATTTATACTAGTAATTTGATATCTTCTACGACAAATGTATTAACCACAACGGGTGAGTATTTAAGTATAGTTCAGTTATGGTGTTCGAAAAGGTTTTAATTTTGAGCCATCAAACTGAACCCTATCCAAATATCTTAATCCCAAAAAGCACTCTACAGATTTTGAGATTTCTTTTTCAAACGTCCTGGAAGTTGATGTTTTGTGGAGTTTACTGCCACTCTTGCCCAAACCTTGTAAACACTATAATATAGTTTGAGTTTTATCTTTCAGGTTGGTTAGGTGGATTTAAAAAAACATTTTATTTAATAAATTTTCAGCATTGATATGGTAAATTTAAGAAACGATAACAAGCTTTATCAGCTTATATTCAACCGGTTCCTTAGTATGAATTTTTAACAGATATGCTACTGGCCACATACAGGCGCGACTTAATTTGAATATTCAGCTTGTGCGAGTCACAGGACCTCATCTGTAAACGAGCTTATTGCATTACCGGGTTATAGGTATACAGCTATCCTTTGGCATCAGCTCTGGAAGGACAACAATTCCCCCAATTCCTACATTAGCTACCATACGTAAAACAAAAAGGGCTATATGTTTTATATTTACTATATTTTTAAAAAGGTTTAATTGGTTTTTAAATTGTATATAAAATTTATACCCATGCACTTCGTTTAATTCTTTTGAAAATAGTATGTTTATTTCTTTTCAGCAAATCCATGCATCAAAATCTTTGAACAATGTAATAAAACTGCTGCCGTTAATGTACACAATAGTTGCGAGTAAGTAGCTAGTGTCTCTATGTCTCGTGATCGTGTACTAAAACAACAATGTTTTTTATATATTTACTTCCGAACCAACGTATTTAAAAAATGTCTCAGATAGTTCAAATCATGGCCGGAATGGATACCGGGACATTTTAGTATGTTGTAAATATAAAGTAAATATAAAAACAAATTTGGATAAAAGGAAATCATCATAATTATTTGCAAAATTTGAAAATTGTTATTCATGTGAGTAGTATAGGGGGTACTTTCTAGGTAGTGGGTCAGTTTCGTCCCGGGGCAGTTTCGTCCTGGGGCAGTTTCGTCCCGGGGCAGTTTCGTCTTGCGGCAATTTCGTCACGCGGCACTTTCTCACTGCGGCACTTCAGGCGATTTACAAATGATCATGTGACAACTACGTATTTTGCGACAATACTATATACCGGAAAACACCATGTTATATTGAATACCGGAAAACACCGGAAAAACACTAAATACCGAAAAACACACTAAATAGCGGAAAACACCCTTAATAGGTAACCCAGAGCCTGGTCCTCTCTCTGTTTGCGGGGAGTTAGGTTTAAGAATTTGGGGGAGAGGTTAAGTCTCCACATAAGCACTGACCTAGGATGATGAAAAGTTAGTTCGTGATATTTCCTAGTTTTATTGAAAATACATACAATACATTAGATTTATATACAAAGGCGATTTCACTGTTTTGATGTTGGTGGTGCTGATGGTCTTCCTTGAATGGCGCTTCTGGTATTGTTTCTGAAGAAAAAAAAAATAAATTTGAGGCTCTCGGGAGAGAGCCACATTAGTAGGGTGACCCATGCACCTGCAGAAATACAGTCAACCGCTGATAGTTCGAGACTACCTCTGAAGCGTGCACATTCGCCGTGTCGAGTCCAACTTTCTGACAGTATGATACTATAAATAGCCATGGCACGTGCAATTCTCTACAAATCTATCAACTATTACAGCCGTAAAAAATTTATTGTTGACGATTTTGAATAGCAGTAAAATAAAGCTTCTTGGTTATTACAGCAGATTTAGAAATTACGTTCGTTTCATTTTTTAAATTGCTTTATCATTAACTGTACCGTTAAGAGCGGCATCTTTTGGTTTAGTACAAATAATATCTCTGAAGCACTCGGGTTAGACAGGAACATGATACTAGCAGTAGTTTCATTTTACTTTTACAAGCTTCTTAAAACAATTGTTTAGCTAGCTAACGTGCTCATTTCTAAATTCAATTTCTTGTTCTAGCTTTCTGTTATGTTTCGTAAATAAGTAGTCTTGATTATCCCGACCTGTCAATCAGCCCTAGAATGGTCGATAGACTGGTTAAGCGAGACTAATTTCAAAACAAGGGCACGTAACCTATCTTTTACTCAAGAGTGTCTGGATGTTATGGACGACACATGGAACCAGTTTTCAGTCTATTATTTATAGATGATTAATGGTCATAGCTTATTAAGTACAACATGATCGTTTATTTAGTGACTATAATTGTGTGAAACTGATTTGAGGCTTGGCATATATATAAATATTGTGGCGAAATTGTCGAGATATGGAGATATTTATTTATGGTGGGTCACCCTAACATTAGTGTGTTTACTACTACGGATTGGATTTTCTAAAAAATCGTCTTTGTTCCACATCACCGGGTTAGGGCTTCTTATATCTAGTTGATTTTTATTTACTAACGGTTAGGGATAGGATTTGATATATGATTTGTTTTGGGTTGGGGTGGAGACTGGTCTTATTTAATCTAATTTACTGTGCACTAGGATGTCGTTCAGATTTTTATTTTTAGAATATGCAATTATAAGTTTCTGTGTGAATATTTTCGGGTGATTTTCTTGGAGATCAGTATAGTGATTTCTGATGATTTTCGATGCACTTGCTGCTGTTGCGCTATATGGAACTACAAAAGGGACTATTGCGCTAGACGTATGAATATTTAAACCTGGGGGGGGGGCTGTTGTTTTCAATTTGTCAATCCAGAATTTTTCTCTTGTTAGCCTAAACGTTTTAATTTCTTCTGTAGTTTGAAAGTCGCTCTTGGTCTGTTCTATTGGCGTGACAATGAGATCAGAAATATCATGATTTGGTTGGTTGAAATGAATTGAGACAGGTTTGTCTTTTTTGGTGACTATGTCTGATCGGTGACCGTTAATTCTTTCCCTAAGTGCATTTTGAGTCTCCCCCACGTATTGCTTGTCACATTGTCTGATTGAAATTAGATAAATTATGTTTGAACTATTGCATGAAAGTTGGTTTAATATTGGGAATTGCGTGCCAGATGTTTTGTTATGGAAATGGTCGGATATGTTTAAGATTTTGCATGTTTGACATCTTGGATGGCCACAAGTTTTGGTTTTAACTTCTGATTGCATATTATTTGTTTTTTTGGCGGCAAGCTCAGCTAGAGTGTTGTTTTTTATACGTCGTAGATAGCGTTTGGAGTATCCCCTTTCTCTTAGTTTGCTAAATACCAGCGTACATGCTGACTCAAAGTCGGTCTTCTGAGTACATATCCTATGAAAACGGAGAATCTGAGATTTTATGATGCCAGAGAAGGTATGTTTGGGGTGAAAGGAGCTCTTGAACAATAGTTGATGTGTATCAGTTTCTTTGAAAAATACTTTAGTTTGTAGTTGCTCCATATGAACAAGTACAACCGATGACCGCTATCAATCATTCAAAATACGTAGTAGTTGTCACATGATCATTTGTAATTGACTGAAGTGCCGCAGTGGTCAAAGTCTGTTATCTGAATTTCGTTGTATTGATAGCCGTATTCGTTATATACTCTTCAAAAAAAAGTAGGGGATGATCAGAAACAATACAAAACTGGGGAAATGCACTGCTGTTTTTATTAGAGGTAACCAGTGTATGAATAACAAGCTAATTGCCTACACATGAACATAAACAGTTCATATGGGCGGCTTATCTGACGGTCCAATTTCACACGCAAAAGAAATACACCGTCAAAAGTGAAAATGGACGTTTTTGATTTTTGTCTTAATAATGAGTAATTGCTCCACCAATCCTCGGATATTCAGCAATTCGTCGTGGCATGCTCCCAATCAATCGTCCAATCACGATTTGGCCCAATCTGACTTACTTGCAGTGTTGTCGGTTGATAAAACACTAAAGCAAAGATAAAGGAAATCTTATGCAAGAACCGATAGGAAAGCAAACATGGATAGATAAACCAGCAAGCGGCAGTTTCAAATTTGACAATGTATGGCGCTATTGCGTGTCCCATGAACCGCTCAATGGTTCTGTTGGGGAAATAAGTTCTTCATCTGTGAACATACTCTCAAAGCATGTCAAATGTCCATGACTATTTATTATATCGCAACCTGCATAGGTATTTGCATTTCAATATCCCCTACTTTTTTTTGAAGAGTATATGACAACAGTATAATAATTTGTCATCAGTTCTATTGGGGGAGCCGAAAACTGTGAGGTGGGGATTTGCATGTGTTTAAAGGAAACATTAGTTGATATTTGACACCACATTCTTAAAGAGCGGATATTAAACAAATCCTTCTTGAATTTTGTGCAAACAGGATCTTAGTCAGAAATGATTGATTGTATTTCAGTTTATTAGACCTTCATACAACGTGTTTCAAAAACATGGCGATGATTTGTTCTGCAAATCAGATGGATGAACTTTCAGCATATCTTGTAGTTGAAGCAGACAACATTAAAGCCGATGACCCTAATGGGTGTAAGTACATATTAATGCGAAATGTATCATATTGTGAAATGGGAGTAAATATAATGGTGGTACACTTGCAATCCCTTTTCGGGGAAATGTTTAGATTGCCTATAGGTGGTATTATTTTGATGCAAAAAAGCACATACTGTCGTTCACGATACAGGGCATGCTATGTGTACCCTTTCCGAAACACCTGATACCACGTTCTACTATAATTACACAGGAATTTCAGATCGTTATGCTTTTGAGTACGTGGCTTATGTCCACTCTCTTGCATTGCATTTCATTGTGATTTTAAAAGATAGGACAATAATCATCAAATTGATATAAATTGTATATTTTTGCAGGTTCTGCTATCCCTCAAATACTTTCAACTAGGGCCACAACTACTGAGGCTGTCCCTTTTGGATGGCAAACCCGACAACCCGCAAGACAAGAGCGACCTATCGTGCGGCGTCCTGCTTATAAACCCATTGTTGGTATAACTCCAGGGCATGCTGTACCGTCAGTTGTAAAGAGGCCTTTGGTCAGACCGATAGTTCAAAGACCAAATCCGGGACAGTATAAAAAACCAGGTTTCACACCAGTTCACACACCTACGCGGCTTACAACTTATCCCACTTCCCGAACTACAGTTCGAAGTGTACAAAGCTTGCCCGCTAAGACATCACAACCAGTAGTTACTGCCGCTCCTAGAAGATACAAATCTGATCCAGGTCTAATACAAACACCGGACGGGAGTAAATATTATAGAAATAGTAAGTAATTTTGGCATGTAGATTTTGTCTTTCGGATAGCTTCCTATATTACTGACCGCATGGATTGCAATTCAAAAAACACCCAGAAACATTAATTTAGTTCGTAGCAAAACAGCAGAATATTTGCCAAAAGATTACATGAATATTTATTTGTCATCCGAAAATAATACAATTTTATGTAAAATAATGGACCACAGGACACTTTACTGCTTAGAAAATTGACCCGAGATGGATAAGATGTAACGTGGTATCTAGATTCAATTTGTCAATTCTTTTTATACGCCCCTATTTGCTTCTGTGATTGTGATGAGCGTTTTTTTGTTAACTGGCAGCACTGTTGCATGGGAAGTAAATTTAAATTTACAATATAACATAAAAAATTTAACGAATAAGTGATTTTTAAATACTCTGTTGCTATGTTTTTTAAATTATTTATTTTATGATAAATTATTTATGATTTCAGATTCGTCCGGAAGGCGTCTTCAATCAATTTCGGTGTTGTTATTATGTTCCATGCTGCATTTAATTGTGCTGGCCTAATTGATTGTTAACTCGATTGTATCCATGTTATTATTGACTAGAGCAGAAATTGATGAAATAAATTTGCACCCGTAATTAATTCATGTGCTATTTTATGTGCTGTAATAAAGCAATGGGGTATTTTTTTCTTTTCTTTGAAGAAAGAAATATTAGGTGTTGACCTCTGGGAAGGGTCAAAGTTTGAAAGCTATGAACAAAAAATTGGGTTTGACGACCATTCAATATCAATTAGATCGTTTCGGAAATAACATATACTAAACAGCGAAAACAACGTCAATACGATTTCAAAATCAGAGAGGCACTTTAATCAAATCATTCTAGAAAACAACTTACTAAATGGATCAAAGCATTTTCTTGTGAACAGTATGTTGACACATTAGTGATTAATTCATCACAATTCCAAGACATCACGAGAAGGTTTAGGGTCTGTACACAGTCTATACATCAGTATCTGGTGTGTCCACCGCGAGTGCCAATAACAGCAGCACAGCGTCTGTAGGCCTACATGGAGTGGACCAGACGATTGATCAACGCCATTGCCACCTGGAACCACACTCGCAGAAAAGCCTGGCGCAATCCATCGGCTGTGACGTTATTAAGACTCCTCTGAATTTCATCCTAAAGATGTTCAATCGGGTTTACGTCCGGACTAAGGGCTGGCCAGTGCATAACGTTGATACCGTTCTGCTGTAGAAAGTCCCTAGTAACTTAGACTGGATAACCTGCTCTAATACGTCAGACTCGCTTCTACGTCGTTCCTTTTCTGACTTGCATATAGAGACAGGTAGTGGGCAGCCATGTTTTGACGTAGTGTTACTAAAAAAAGACGGGTAACCCTAATGATGGCGTTCAGCGTTAAAATGAATAAGCTAGAAGATTTGTTAAGCTTTTCTTTAATGTCTAAGATTGCTAACCAAATTAAACGTTGATCGTGCGACATCTTATTGTTATCTTAAACCCAAACAAAGCGACAGTTTAAAATCAGCTCTTATAATAATCAGATACAATCGTAGGCCTACCGGCCATGTCAAATCGCTCATCATAGTCAATAAGTCATATTTCATTTGATTTATTGCCGTATTTCTCAAATTCCAAAATATTAATTATTGTTCCGTTAAATTCCATTATTGAGAAAAAAATTGCATAGTTTCGGCTCTAATCCACAAGCTAAACCTATACTACCGCTCCATTTAATTGGTGTTGACATCTTTATTGCATACTTCATGTTTTTGTTTACAATACATTGGTAATGTGCGCAGAAAGAGGTGCCCGCTACCTGTCTCTATATTGAAGTCGGTCAGACTAGCGCAGTGACGTAGGAACCAGCCTGACGTCATTTAGAGCAGGCTGTCCAGTCTACTAGTAACTCTGGCGGTGTGGGCACGGACGTTGTCATGCAGGAAAACGTTATTTCGATGACGTGCGAAATGTGGTATGACGTGGGGTCTGAGAGCTTGATCGATGTAACGCACTGCTGTAATGCCGCCTCCTCTCCCTGAACCAAGATTTTGGAACACCACAGGGCCAACTCCCTCGTTCAGGCCGATTCTACCCCAAACCATTATGCTTTGACCTTCCCATAACTCTCATTCCATGACACATTGGTCAGAATAACGCTGGCCACGTCGACGCCATGTTCTGGTCCTTCCATCTGAAGTTATACGCAATACCGACTCTCATCTGGGAACAGGACAGTTCTCCATTGCCAGTTCTGGTGTTGTTGGGCAAACTGTAGACGTTCACGTCGATATCGAGGGGTGAGGATCGGTCCACAATAAGGTCTACGGCAATGGATGTTCTCTCTGGTAAGACGTCGGCGCAATGCATCGGTACTGGTGGGTCTTCCGTGTGTTCCCACTGTCTGACGTGCTGTCTCAGATGCCTGTGTGAAGGGATTCTGCACGTGCTGTCGCACAACATGGCGGTCTTGTCGCCTTGTGGTAATCCTTGGTCTACTAGTTAAGGGGCGATCACCCCTGGTGTTGGTGGCCCGAAAGCGTTGATGGTCCGAACATTGACCTGGAAGTGATTGGCAACGGCTTGGGCAGTGTGGCCAGCGTCCAGTCTTCCCAGAGCCTGGTTCCTCTGAGCTGTCATGGCATGCTGCTGACGTTGTAGTGTGAATGATTCAATCAGATATGGGGATGCATTTTATAGGGCTGGTCGCGGTGAACAGCACGTGCAGTATGAGTTATATGAAAATCATGGAGAAAAACACATTACCATCTCAGAAGTCAGGCTGCGTTTTTGAGAACATTTCCTGGGTTCAATTCTGTCTTTAAAATGAAATAAAATGAAATGGAGTTTTATGGCACGTCAGCTCCAACCGGGCTATATTGCGCCAAACATATTGTGAATTTAACGAGACAAATTAAAGCATTATCAAACCAGCACGCGGCAGTTTTCATCAACGCTTCCTTGAAGGGTCAAATTTGACAATGAACCTCTCCCACGTGTATGAAGCTATTATGTGTCGCACGTGCAGCTCAGTTCTTCATCTGTGAACGTACTCTCAAAGCATGTCAAGTGTCCATGACTATTTATCATATCACAACTTGCATAAGTATTTGCATTTCAATACAATATCCCCTACTTTTTTTTTGAAGAGTATATAATATATGCTAGACTATATACAATTAAAATGATGAATACAAATTTGTCTCTTTTTAAAATGTTAGGACTTTGCTATAATATTTTGATCTTATGGACTTGAGATGATTGCACTCAATCAAAATGTTGAGGCTCTCGCTTTAAGATGAAAATATGGGTTAAAAACGAGTGACCAATCTTGTCTACGATATCACCCTAGGTGGAAGTGGACGTAAAACTCTAGAAACGAACGAACGAGTGACCAATGCGAGACAACTTCATCTCTCCTGTTGGTTCTATGGGAGGAGGCTTAATTTGATGACGTTTATTTGTGCCTGCAAGATCGAAAGACCGTTGCCAGCGGTCATAAATAAAAAGTTTGATGGAAGATCTGTGAAAGGTAAAAGAAATTGTGATATGGGAAAATCTAAAGCAGACTTGACGCCTGTTTGCCATGTGCTCGTGAGTTAATGGAGGCACAAGACGCAGTCGTCGCGCATGCAAATGGGCTGCATGTAGCCGATTTCTAATCGTTTGGGGTGTAACTCGAATTCCTGTAAATTTGTACAGAAAGATGATTGGCCGTTAGTCCTCGATTTGACAGGACCTGTGTAGGAATGTATCGATCTTGGGCTTGTGTAGTGGCTCTAGGACGACCTGAACGAGGTCTATCTTCAACACTGTGTGTTTGTTGGTACCGGTTACACAGTCTGCTGATCACGGACTGTGACACATTAAGCATGTTGGCTACTGCTCGCTGTGTAGAACCCATTTGAAGCATGCCAATAGCACGTAGACGTTCATCATGTTGAAGACGTCTTATTTCAAATTAAAGATACGCTAAACAGTAAATCTTATGCAAGAACCGATAGGAAAGCAAACATGGATAGGATAAACCAGCACGCGGCAGTTTTCATCAACCCTTCCTTGAAGTGTCAAATTTGACAATGAACCCCTCCCAGGTGCAGCTCAGTTCTTCATCTGTGAACATATTCTCAAAGCATGTCAAGTGTCCATGACTATTTATCATATCACAACCTGCATATGTATTTGCATTTTAATATCCCCTACATTTTTGAAGAGTATATATAATATATGCTAGACTATATACAATTAAAATTTTGAATAAAAATTTCTCTTTTAAAAATGTTAGGACTTTGCTATATACCTCCGGTTGGGAAAATAACTGACGTACTGACTGGCAATGGTAATACTTGAGGTGATTACACTCAATCAAAATGTTGAGGTTCTCGCTTTAAGATGAAAATATCGGTTAAAAACAAATGACCAATGCGAGAGCGACACAAAACAACTTCATCTCTCCTGTTGGTTCTATGGGAGCTTAGTTAATCTCCTAAGGGAGGCTTAATTTGATGATGTTTATTTGTTCCTGCAATAAAAAGTTTGATGGAAGATTTAAAATCTTTGAAAGGTAAAAGGAATTGTGATATAAAGCAGACTTGGCAGCTAAGTCTGCTTGATCGTTCCCTGTAATATCAACATGACAGGAGAGCCAGCAAAGGACAATGTCCTTGCTGTTAAACTCGTGTGATAGCTTGCTGTTAAACTCGTGTGATGGTAGCAGACAGACGATAAATGTCTGCTACTAACGGGTGTACAAGATGCTTATTGTATATCGCCTGTAAAGAGGACAAAGAATCAGTAAATATAATGTGTTTTAAAGAAGAAGAGGATTTATTTGAACTCCAATGCCTAAAAGATGGCCTGAAGTTCAGCAGTTAATATGAAAGCAGTAGGAGGAGGACGAACAGAAATGGTCTCAGATGGTGTGACGGTAGCCGAAGCTACCCGATCACCATCTTTGGATCCATCTGTGTAAATGGGAGC